CCTACATCTACCAACATGACTCAGTCCACTTGTCAGTGATTTCATGGATTTCTGCCATGTTTTTGGTTTGGCCGCCCCTAGTTTTCTCCTAACCTACTCCTACACTACAAAACATCGCTTGTCGAGGCGGTCGGTGGTTAGGCTGTAGTGCCTCCACATATATTTCAGTTCGCTTGCATTTAACTTGGTTAAGCCCTTTCGATTAATTTATTTAACCAAGCCATTTGTATTGCAACAATTTATATGTGCCATTCGTTCTTATTATCGTCTGGTTTGTATGAGCTCACATGACGTGTTCCACTTGTCATTCGACCTAGTCAATCATTCGTCGCTTTTATTCATGTGTGTGCATGCCTATTTCGCTTGTCACATGTCTGTGTTGTATTTGTCTGACTATATATTCTCAGTCACGCTCTATCTCTTGGAGTTGGCTCATTAGCCTTCTCCAACGCACTTCGCCTGTTTATCCGCTTCCTTCGCCCATTCGTTCGCATTGTAATCGAAGGAGTTAGCTCAACAGCCTTCTCCGATTCACGTCACTTCATTTGTTTAATTTGCTGCTCCTCCGCTTCGCTTTGTGATGTGTCCCAAACAAACGTATTCATCACTAAGAGTTCACCTTCTGAATTATAACCGTCAGACGCTACTTTGTAACGATTGTCTGGACGAGCTAATTACGAAGACTAAGAACACGTAGAAATTGGCCACCACAAGGCATTCGTAACACAAGTCCCAACAACCTCGACTGATGAAGTTTCAATAACTCATCTAATAAACTGTCCATCCTAACCTAGTACTGGTTTGCTAACAACAGCATTATTTACTCGACAGTCTCAAGATAAACGGTCAATGCCTCGGAGACACCTATGATCGATAACCAGTAACCTACGAATGTCTTCTGCTCTTACTAGTTGTTTCACATCCATATAGCAGGATGGAGCGAACTGCTGAGCAGAAGACTTGTCCTTTGGTTAGCAAACGGATATCTCGCCGACGCCATAAGTGACGCAAGCTGGCAAAAGTTAATCGAGCCTTCTGTATCCGTGATGAGATTTCATCAGTCTCCAGGTCATCAGTACTGATGGGACTCCCAAGATAAGTGAGGTGGACAAAACGCTCAACTGCTTCACTCACTAAAACTAGATCAGGTGCTGCTGAAAGCCTATACACTAAAAAAGTTCATTTACAGGTATCCTATCTAGTGATATAGTCAACTTATCATCTTGAAAATTGTCAATCGAAACATAACCCAGACAAATTTAATATAGAGAACCAATCACAGATCGCTGAATGGGAAGGCCATCAAGAAAATGTCCTTGTTCAAGAAATAGAATAATTTTCTATTCGGTAACCAAAATAAATTTTCTCATCCAATCTTGCCTTCTTCTCACTCAAGTAGTCAGTTTTGGCGCGAGTGAGCGCATATCATGCTCGGATTTCGGACAGTGCACATCATAATACAATTCGTCATAAATACACATAGAATTAACCAGTAAAACTACATTCAAACATAGTGGTCTTAAAGAAGACATTATGAAACTAGGTTAGGGCGGAAAGTCTAGGGTATGATGAACAGTTGGAAAATCCTTAAACAAGGTTAAAACAGTCAGTTATCGATTGTACCTCCCTAATTTCTAATGCCTTTTGCTTAGCTGATAACAATATTTTTTTTATTTTAATGTTTAACAATCAAATATAAACAATCATTTTAAAATGCAAGGTTTTTTTTCCAATGGAGAAAAACATTACGGCATGTGATTTGTTAAAATTTATCAATGTGACGGATGTTTTTTTTACGAAAAAATTTTAATATCAAATAAACTGATTTGTCTAGACAAATCAATCAGCATTGTTGAGTTTAAATGACCGATAATATATATATATATATCAGTCAGTCAGATGCAACGTGGAACTTCGTACGTAAGTACATCACTTCATGTTGCCATACCACATCAGCACAGAGATGTAATTGTCAATTCAAATCCAATAGTAGAAGAGGTAGTAAAGGTATTAGAAGTAATCGCACAGGTTAGGATTAGAAGATATTATTCAAGAAGTATGATTCAGTGAAAAAAGTTTAGAAAGTCATAACTAGAGGTGTTGAAGAATTCAGAAGATTAGGATTTGAGAGAACACAAAGAATAAATGCACCGGCGCCATTGCAAACGGTTTTGAACCATGTCATTCAAGGTCTCTAACCATCGATTATTATCATCTCGCTGACCCCAACAAGGTAGTCGACAACTACCGACTTGGCTAAGTCCATTCGTCATGGATTTGTGCCATGTTTTGGTTTGGCCACCCCTAACTTTCTTCCAACCTACTCCTACACTACAAAACAAGGCTCGACGAGGCAGTCGGTGGTTAGGCATACGCAAGACATGTCCAAACCACCTCAACTGATGAAGTTTCACCACTTCATCTATTGATCTGCCATTCTTACCTAGCACCCGTCTCCTAATAACAGCGTTGCTCACTCGGGTGTCCCACGATATACCAGCAATGCTTCGAAGACACCTATGATCGAAAACCAGTAACCTACGAATATCTTCTACTCTCATTGGCTATGTTTCACAGCCATAAAGTAAGACGGAGCGAACCACTGCGCAGTACACTCGTCCTTTAGTCAGCAAACGGATATCACGCCTACGCCATAAGTGACGCAGGTTGGCAAAAGCCAATCGAGCCTTCTGTATCCTTCTGCATATATATATATATATATATATATATATATATATATATATACATAAAGACAATCTCTTTTATGAGGTCATTTATTTAACATGAATATAAATGATTACGATTGACTGATCGCATTCAGTAATTGGTTAATCTCGTCTTATTCTACTTATTCAGTAACTGTGAGATTCAAACGACCGGTTGGATATAATTGACAGGAATGCCTGGATCTAGGTTTTGTGACTGACCAATGACCATAATCACATATGGAGGGAAGCACGGTATACGGAGGACAACCAGAATGCAGCTGGACGATCTGTACTTCACAGACGGTCTGGCTATTCTATCGCAAACTCAAAGACAAATGCAAGAGAAGATGACCAGTGAAGCAGCAGACGATCTCAGCATACATAACATAAAGAGAAAAGCAAGATTCTACGATATAACACAACATGCGCCAACCAAATCACTCTTGATCGAGATGCCTTGGAAGGAGTAGGAACCTTTACATATCTGGGCAGCATCATTTACAATCAGGGTTTATCCGATGCAGACGAAAAGGCACAGATCGGCAAAGCAAGGGCAGTATTTCTACAATTGAACAACATCTGCAACTCAAAGCAACTATCAACAAACGCCAAAATCAGAATTTCCTATACAAATGTCAAGACAGTGCTACTATATGAAGCGGAAGCTTGAAGAACTACGAAAGCCACCATCCAGAAGATACAAGTATCTATTAACAGTTGTCTACGCAAGATACTTCGGATTCGTTGGACAGACACGATCAGCAATAAACTACTATGAAAAAGGACAAATCAGATCCCAGAGAATGAAGAAATTAGGAAAAAGAGGTGGAAGTGGATAGGACACACATTGCGGAAATTATCAAACTGCTTCGCAAGACAAGCCCTCACTTGGAACCCTCAAGGTAAAAGGAAAAGAGGAAGACCAAAGAACACACTACGCCGAGAAATAGAGAAAGATATGAGAAAAATGAACAAAAATTAGGAAGAACTGGAAAAGGTCTAGGACAGAGGAGACTGGAGAATGCTGGTCGGCGGCCTATGCTCCATTGGGGGTAACAGGCGCAAGTAAGTACGTAAGTAAGTAATGACCATACCCAAAACATTACTGCATTCTTGTACGATCTAGTACTCAATATGATTCAAGCAAGCGTTAGCCAAATTTCACAATTAAGGACGTTATTCTGAAACGATACAGCTGGCTTACGAATGATCAGTTTTGTAGGAGGCTATATGTAACATCACGACTAGCTACAGAATAACATCTCAGACTGTGTACCTAACCGAAGCGCATACGACAGACAGATATACAACGCAGAACTTCGTACGTAAGTGCATCAGTTCAGTTCGCCATACCACATCAGCACAGAGATGTAACTGTCAGTTCAAATCCAAGAGTGATAGCGATAGTGGAAGTATTAGCAATAATGGAGAAGATTAGGGAGCGAAGATATGATTCGAGTAGTACAATTCAGTGAGATAAATTCAGAAGGAGAAAGGCAGAGATTATGAGGAATGCAGAAGCTTATAATTTCATAGAACACAACGAATGGATGCACCTGAGCCATTGCAAACGATTCTGAGCCATGTCGTTCAAGGTCTCTAACCATCAGTGACTTTCGTCTCGCGGACCCCAACCAGGCAGCCTACATATACCAACATGACTCAGTCCACTTGTCAGTGACTTCATGGATTTCTGCCATGTTTTGGTTTGGCCGCCCCTACCTTTCTTCCAACCTATTCCTATACCACGAAACATAGCTCGTCGAGGCAGTCGGTGGTTAGGCATATGTAACACATGTCCTAAACACCTCAACTGATGAAGTTTCAATACTTCATCTATTGATCTGCCATCCTTACCTAGAACTCGTTTCCTAATAACAGCATTGCTTATACAGTTGTCCCAGGATACACGAGCAATGCTTGGGAGACATCGATGATCGAAGACTAGTAACCTTCAAAAGTCCTCCACTCGTAACGGTCATGTTTCACAGCCATAAAGTAGGACAGAGCGAACTGCTGCACGCTACACTCATCCTTTGGTTAGCGAGTGGTTATCTGGCTTGCGCCATAAGTGACGCAGGTTGGCAAAAGCCAATCGTGCAAGCGCATTCGAATAACAAAAGGACTATTAGATAATTGACAACTACTACAAAGTAACGTCTTGTTATTGATTACTTACTGATCAACATGAAAAATCAACGTTGACAGATTTCCGCACTGACTACAACTAAACACCACTAAAAAACACTTGTGAACATTTAAGAATACATAAATGACAAAAATCGAACTTACTCCACCAATCATCTCTTTATAATCATCTCCATCAGCATGATTATTATCATTATCATCATCATAATTATTTGCTTGTTGATTGTTTACTAATGAACAATGATAATTCGGTGATGTGGTTTGTCTATTTTTACTATTATTTGAATCTTTGGAATGTACACCATTATTATGACTGTGATTATCGGAAGAAATTTTACAGGGTGGTGTTGGCCGCTGAAATAAAGGTGGTGCATTACAAGCACCACTTGAAGGAATTCGACTATTGTTATTATTTTCAACAACAGTTCGTTGATTAGAATTAACATCTTTTGGGAAGAAAAACAAATATCGATCAAAAAATTTATTTAGGTTGGTCATTTTTTAAATCACATAATTTTTAATGTAACTTACATATCAATCAATCAATCACGATTTAACTCCGCCAGTAGAACCTTAGGGGCTACTGCCGGTCCCAAGCCCGGATAAAGGAGGAGGGTTGGACATGGGGTTGGCGACCCCTTCCCGTAAAAACTAACTTGCCAAAAAAACGCTAACCAGAAAAAATAATTCAAACCTGAGATTCTCATCCTATCAGTGATTTTCGTGCATGTTTGGACAGCATCAGTGCAACTCCTTGTGTATGTGAAGCATTTTCCTCTTTATGACCAGAGTATAACAGCAGTTCCCCAGAAGCTAGTCTCAGTTGTCCTACCTGTGTCCAATGCGTTTCACTGATGCTGAGCACCTCGAGGTTGTATCTTTTCATTTCTGCCGCCCAAATTACTCTTGATGAAGATGCCTTGGTGGACGTTAACACCTTTACATATCTGGGCAGCATCATCGACAATCAAGGTTGATCCGATGCAGATGGGAGGGTGCGGATTGGCAAAGCAAGGGATGCATTGCTACAATTGAAAAATATCTGGAACTCCACACAACTTTCAACCAAAACCAAAATCAGGATTTCCGATACAAATATCAAGACAGTTCTACTGTATGGAGCGGAAACATGGAGAACTACCAAAGCCATCATTCAGAAGATACAAGTGTTTATGAACAGTTGTCTACGCAAAATACTTCGGATTCGTTGGCCAGACACCATCAGCAACAACCTACCGTGGGAGAGAACAAATCAGATTCCAGTAGAGCAGGAAATCAGGAAGAAGCGGTGGAAGTGAATAGGACACACACTACGAAAAGCACCTAACTGCGTCACAAGACAAGCCCTCACATGGAACCCTCAAGGCAAAAGGAAACGAGGTCGGTCAAGGAACATATTACGCCGAGAAATAGAGAAAGATATGAGAGGAATGAACAAACATTGGACAGAACTGGAGAAGGAAGCCCAGGACAGAGTTGGTTGGAGAATGCTGCTGGTGGGCGGCCTATGCTCCATTGGGGGTAACAGGCGTAAGTAAGTAAGTAAGTAAGTAATCAACCAAGGTTTGATTGTGACCAATTCGGTGTCGTGTGTTTTTATAGGTATGAGCGCGGATGTTAATTTCAGGCTGACCACATCGTGGAAAGGTTATGGTTGTCAGAAAGGGCATCGGCGTCATAACTCTTCTAAATGAAGACCTTCTTACTTCATGAGCACAGTTTATATGGTTTGAATTATTTTTTCTTGTTAACATTTTTTTAGCGAGTTAGTTTTTTGTGGAACGAGTTTGCCAATCCCATGCCCAACCTTCCTCCTTTATCCGGGCTTGGGATCGGCAGTAGCTCCGAAGGGTCTACTGGGTAAGTGATATGGGGTTTGAAAAAATAATTAATCTAGTTGAGAGAGTTCTCAATATAATACATCGATGATAGTTAAACATCTTCTTTGATCTACTATGATTTCAGTTGAAGTATGAAGGAGGTAGGTCAGTTTAACAGTGTAGGATCATATAATTTAGATGAACGATCAGTGGCTTCACAGACTGATGATGGACTTTTACATTTCTTTTGTCCAACAATATATTGCACGTCAGCAAATATAACATATATTCTAATCATCAAAATTAATGAAACCTGGTAGCCATCAGTGATATAAACTTGAAAACATACTACATATTTTTAAAAAGACTTTTTTTAACAGCTAAAAATATTAGCGACCCATAAACGATGAATTAATGCAGTCTATTCATTTTCATGAATAATTGACATTTTAAACGTTCATCGACTTATCAGTGTTCTGACTCCTGACTACCATTATAATCCCTTCTTCCTCTCTCCAAATGCTATCATACGCATGCACAACCAGTGAAGTCTTACTGCGCGCTGATGCCAACAGTGTTGCTTACTACATTCAGACGACGAGAATCTAGTAGCCTGATCTTCAACCGGGTTTGCGGGTATGGAAGACACACCTAGAGTAGGAGTATGAAAACTTTCATTCCGAACCAATATCAGTGGTGCATATAATATCTAGCATCCCGATCCAACAAATCTCGTATAAACCTATTGTTGGTCACTGACTACCGTGTGACAATACTGTGGATGACACCTCTAGGTCAAAGGTTCGGTTGGTAGTATTTTAAAAAAACCACCCGCTTCGGTTTGTGCGTTCGAGCAGTAACCCAGTTCATATACAAATTTAATGATTTGTCCAGTGCATAAATGTCTTTGTACCAATAATTATGTTCAGGATGTGGCTGCGTTACATTCATCGTTGGACTCACCAATTCTGTGGTGGATATGGACTCAACAGTTCTTTGGCAGTCGGTATTCGAAATATTCTTAAATTTTGTATACTGCTCATCCTGATAACTGTTACTAGATACCGCCAAACGGTGTATGAATCAAAATATAAAAACGAAGCGATGATTACGTTTATTATCACACCCCACACAGATCACAAAACCACAGGCGCACAAGACGAAAATGCTATGAGAGTGCTGAAGAGCGAGCAAGTGAGTGAGCGCGCCAGTAGGTAGGATTAAAATATACATAAATATATACATAGGAAAATGAATGAATTATCGAATTATTTACCAGGCTAACATTAAAGCCAGTAGAATGAATATGCACGAAGGCAGTCAACAACGTTCAACTCTACATGCTCATACAAGCACGACAATATAATCAGCGCATTATGGTGCTCTATACAAATGACTTTGACTGTCATATAACTCAATCAAAATGACTTAATCAAATGCGGTATACTACACATAACATAAATATTAATTAAATTGAATATTGACAAACAAGTAACAACCAAACAACCAACTAGTCATTATGATTACCTGTAGTATTAGTAGTATTAGTAGTAGTATTAGTAGTAGTAGTAGTAGAAACATCAACTAATTCTGCTACACATGCTAAATGTTGTACCCAATCAGACATGATTTTATGATTTGCTGCTAAAAAATAATAAACTCGTTTATTTCCATTAAATAATGTTGAAATTGAAAATGCACATGGTCGACCAATATTGACATTTTCAACAATACATTCACAATGTTCTAAATCAACACGACCTAGTGAAAGAATTTTAGTAAAAAAAAAGGAAAAGGAAAATGACATAAAATATGACCAGAATCTTTGCACAGCAAAAATAGTAATTGACTGTACATTGAACTCGTAAACAAATGATTGCATTGCGGGGTTGTTGTGAAGATTGTTAAGTTTTATTTGTAACCATGAATCGATCAATGTTAGACCACCATTTGAAGAAACCTGGAAGCACTGAAAGACGGCCGTTTCGTCCTGGTATGGGACTCATCAGCGGCAGTGTGCATCCACGACTCTTGCACCCCGCAGGATTCGAACCCAGGACCTTCGGTATTGTGCGCACTGCTGATGAGTCCCATACCAGAACGAAACGGCCGTCCAGTGCTTTCAGGTTCCTAATGGTGGTCTAACATTGATCGATTCATGGTTACAAATAAAATAAATCATTGTTAGTCCACCGTTGCAAACATATAAGCACTGGACAGCAGTTTTGTCCTAGCGGTGCGTATCCACGACTCCTACTAATCACGGGATTCCAATGTAAAGCCTTTGATCTTGCGCGGGAACGCTTAATGATTTTCAATGTAAAACAATAATCTCCATAATTGTATGATGAAAAAGTAATTGGTTAGCACAAAGGATATAAGATTGGTTATAAGCTCTTCCTTTATACGTGCTTAACATAAGTTATTATGACTATTCTGGATAAATGAGAGTTTCATGTGTTGTTGCGGGTATAAGGGCGGTTGTCACTTCCCGGGTGCCTACACCGTGGAAGGGTGTTTCCTGAAAAAGGAGAGCGTGACCACATAGCCCAAGGGACAACTGCTTGAAGCCGATCTTACACGGCCTTCTTATGAGAAGTTTTTAAAGTGTTGGCTCCGCTCTTGTTTAAAAGGCCTTACCACCGGAAACAGAAATACGTGAGGTATAGTTAGGCGTGACATTTTTTAGGGTCAAACGTTTCTAACCCCTTCCTTTCACTGTCAGAACGCAGCATCGTTGGAGGTGCTGGTTGTCCGCGAGGAAAAACACACACCCTCACACCCCTTTACAGTCAGCAATACGACTTCGCACTCAGATCTCGAGTTGCTACTTTTAGTTTCATCCTTCTCTTATCGACCTGCCTGGCATGGTAGAACTTACAGAAACATGCGTTCCAACCAATATAGCTCGGTTGGGTCATCAGGATAGGCAAGCCCGACAACCACGTCAAGGTAGCGGCCACAGTAGGGGAATAAATGAGAGACTGTAAACATATAGCTAATGAGATGAGCAGTTGAAATAAGAGGATAACAAAAATAGATTGTTAAAACATGTCAGGTGTTGACAACTATAACTGGCAACCTCAGTAGGATATTATGTCTCACTAAGCCAAAAGAATATGAAAAGACCATCACGTAGTATAAGACTAGAAAGGATTATTATTTAACCAAAATATAATTCTTTAATGTATAGTACAGTGGACAGATCGGGGAAATAGGAACAACGTTAGTATCTTGAATGGTTTTTACATAAGAAGCGCTGATTGGTTAGGCATTAGCCAATCAGCGCGCAGCTAACACAGTTATGCTTTATTCCATCTATTTCCCGCTAACAAACAGATAGTCCAAGTCAGTACGCTTTGTACATCATCGCGCAATGTGTTTTGGGAAAGTGATTATATTATTTTCATAATTGAAACCACAAACTCGTTGATATGCTCGTCAACTGATATGCTTGAAATTATTACGAGTTCAACTTACTCCGTAAACGGAACGAAAATTAACGATACAGTGACACGATAGGCTACTCTAATCCGAGCGTCCCAATGCCCCACGAAGTAGAAAATGAAGTTTTGGTAAGGCGTATAAAGTGTATTCTACGAGCCCCCAGAAAATACATGGCTAACCAAAACACAAATCAAGTTTATTGATACATGATAGAAACATCCTTAGAAGAGCCGAGTAAATAGCATACTAAAATAATGCATCAACCAATAACAATCAAGGATTTTCCGAGTGGGAAATGTAATCTCAAGGTCAACTGAGCAACTTATGGGCGAAAACATAAGAAATCCAAAACTAGGACCTTTACGAAGTGAGTTCTGGGGATCTAACATCCCCAACACTAATCTTAGCTAGATCACCAAAACGAACCTGAAAACACTGGATGGCTGTTGTTTCGTTGACAGATGATTAATGAATATGATTTTAATAAGGTATTTACAATTTGAACAATAATTAATAACAAAAATAAAAATCTTCCGGCTTCTTTTCATTTTAAGAAAAAAATAAATTATTAAACAGATTAAGATATAATATTTTTATGATTTTCAAAATTAATATACTTTTTATAAAGCTTAATGTTTCTGAATTCGATTCAGTTCCTTATCATTCAGTGAGCTGTACTTTATGACGAAACAGTTAAATATTTTACGATATTGATTAAAATAATGTTAGACCAACAATTAGAAACCTGAGAGCACTGTATGACTGTTTCGTCCTAGTGCGGGACTCATTAGCAATGCTCATCCATGACCAATAATACCTCTACTATCTCTATCACTATGGGATTTGATTTGACATTTGCGTCTCTGTGCTAATGTGGTGGTACGGCTACCTGAACTTATGTACATACGTACGAAGTTCTACGTTGCAACTGACTGACTGACTGACTGAACCCATGACAATACAAGCAGGAATCGAACCCAGTCGCTTCGGTCTCACGTGCAAATGCTTAACTTCCAGACCAATAAACCGTCATCCAATAGCATCACCTTTTTTTTTCTCTTTTACTATCATGAACAATTCAACATTTTTAAGGATTAATTAATCCTAACGAAATTAGTGTTCTATTGTAATTTTATTGTTTTAACAAAACAACTGTCGATTGCTTTCAGGATTCTAATGATGGGGTCTAACATTGATCAATTCATGATTCCCGATAAAACTCAACAATTTTCACTGCACTGGAAACTTGTACACTCTCTACGAACTTCTAGTTCCAACTATCCAGTTTGTCTTACAATCTGACAAGTGTGTGATTTCTGATTGTTGCTTTCTCCATTCAATAGTAAGTGCATCCATCATTCTATATGCTTACTGAGTCTTCGGCTCAATCTTTTTCGCCTGTTCTTTTCTCTGTTACATTACCTCATACACTGCTCCTCATACTCCCCCCTCCAGCACACAAGGTACCTTCTCAATCAGTTACAACATAGAACTTCGTAGATGAGTACATCAGTTCACGTTGCCACACGTTATCAGCACAGAGACGCAACTGTCAGTCCAAATCCCATAGTGGTAGAGATGGTAGAATTATTAGCAGTGATGGAGAAGATTAGGGTTCGAAGATATTATTCAAGAAGTAGAATCTAATGGAATAAACTTAAAAGGAGAAAGATAAAGGTGATGAGAAATTCAGAAGGTTAGGATTTGAGAGAACACAAAGAATGAATGCTCCAGCACCATTGCAAACGATTTTGAGCCATATCGTCCAAGGTCTCTAACCATTGATCACTATCACCTCGCGGACCCTGAGCTCAGAGAACGAAACACCACCACAATTTTAACTATTGTGTTTGAAATTTCAAATTATGTTCATCTGCTTCACATTATAAAACTAGAGAGTAACATTTATTGTACACATCATACTTTATAATAAAAAAAGACGGTATAAATATTTTGTTCATAGATGATATTAAAAACCTAATCAAAACGAACTTTACAACTGACAGGGAATAAAGCCTAATAATGTTAAATTAACACATAGTGTGGTGTGAGCTACTCATAAGTAGTATATGACGTGAGTGTCAACGTAGTGTCTGGCAGCAGAATATGGGGGAAGATCAAGAAAGGAAGAGTTAGAACACAATGGACTTTGTATGAAACGCATGAATAGTGACAATGGATTGATGTTTTGCAATAGGAACAGTCCAGTTCGATATAATGGACTGATATTTTGCAAATTAACGATTTACGATATGGTTTTCGGATTTTACTGAGTAACTCTGTAATTTTCGTTAAATGCAATTCGGTTGCCCCACCTGTGTTCTCGTTCACTACAATAGAACTATGGTATAAATGAAATGTGAACAACCAGCATTGAGAAAACACTTTCTGCATGTTCATGAGACATTTGAAAATAATTGACGCCCGGATAAAGGAGAAGAGTTGGGCGGCCCCATCCCTTTAGAAATCCAACTCGCTCAAAAAAACGCTAGCCAGAAAAATGAGTCACTAGTCAGCGGCCTATGCTCCATTAGGGGTAACAGACGTCAGTAACCTCTTAAGCAATCACTTTAAATTCTTCACTCAAATGAATATTGTTTCCGTTTCCAATTAATTTAGTGGTTCGCTTTAACGTTTCATGCAGCAGTAGACCTTAGAATTTACCAAGGAAAGAAGCAAGACTCTCAAGTAAAACATAGTGAGCACTGACCAAAACACACTTGATGACAACGTTCTAGAACAGCAAGAAGCCTGTGCATACCTGGCCAGCAACATCGATAAACAAAAGGAAAATTGGCTGTAGATGTCAAAGCACAAATCGGCACAGTAAAGGTAAGATTTCTTGTTAGTGGGACACAGATGGAATTAAAGCATGACTACGTTGCTGCGCGCTGACTGGCTAATTTCCTATCCAATCAGCGCCTGATCGAATCGTTGAGAACAGGGTAGAAGATTCTCGTATTGTTAGCTGCGTGCTGATTGGTTAAATGTAATCCAGTCGATCATGTGAATTTCTATCCAAAAGCTTCTCCTGTTAATGCTATAAATAGACTTGTATCTATTTTCGCCTTCTTTGCCTTCGCCTTCGGCTCTTATTCCATTTAACCTTTTCTATTTGGAATATAATCTTCCCCTGTTCAACCATGTTTTTGATTCTTGGGGACTTGTCCAGTGTATTGTGGTCAGAGAATACTAAGCAATAGGATTTAGCTGGAAAATATATAAGCAAGCCATTACAACAGTAGCGGTTACAACATTTCTACAATTAAAGAACATCTGGAATTGAGCAAAACTATCAGTCAACCAACTCCAAAGTCATACAAACATTGAAATAGTACTACTGTACAGTGCTGAATACATAACAAATCCCATTGTTATATTATATATATCTTTAGACAATAATAAAATTAAATCATAATACTTACCTTTAAATTTTGTAACAGTTTCATCTTTGTAATAATCAAAAAATATTTCTGTTTTATTTTGATTATGAACTTTGTACAGTATGAAATATCTTCTTTTCCAATCCTAATTTTATGGTGTGTAATAGAATTTACAAAAAACAATAATAAAAATATAATTACTTACAGGATGAATAAAATCAATAAAAGAAATGAGGAACTCTCTACTGTAGTGAATTACAGAAGTAGAAGCATATCTGTATCGACAGTCAGTAAGTCAATCAGTTACAGCGTAGAACTTCGTACGTAGGTATGTACATTAGTTCAGGTTGCCATACCACATTAGCACACAGATGCCACTGTCAGTTCGAATCCCGCAGCGGTAGATATAGTAGAAGAAGATTAGGGTTTGAAGATATTATTCAAGAAGTATAATTCAGTGAAATAAATTTAGAAAGAGAAAGATAGAGGTGATGAGGAATTCAGAAGATTAGAATTTGTGGGAACACAAAGAGCGGATGCACTTGAGCCATTACAAACGATTTTAAGCCACGTCGTCCAAGGTTTCTAATCATTGGTTACTGTCATCTCGCGGACCACATCTATATCAACATTAATTATCATATCACATATTAGCACAGCTAGACGAAAGTGGTAGGTTGCGATCGTGGGAAAAAAACCATTAGGTATACACAATATGATTCAAGGAAAATGATTAAGTTCATGGAATAAAAAGTAATCGATAATTTTGAAGCAGAAAGTAAATATACCTGTGCTACCATGACTGATTCTAAACCATGTCATACAACGTCTACAACCAACAGTTACGATAGTTGTATGGAGCCCTCAACAACGTAGTTAGAATTTACTAACCTGACTCAGTCCAAATGTCAATAACTTCATAAACTGATATCCTGTGTTAGTTTCACCACTCCTAGACCTCTTTTGAGTTCATTTCTACACTAACTAATATCTTTTACTTAGGTATGCAGTGGTTAGATATACGTAATATATATCTCAACCACTACAAACGATGAGGATCTACTGCCTTATTAGCTAATTTGTCAGTCTTAATTCAGTACCCTATATCTAACCTTCACATTACTCATTCGATGATCTCCGAAACACCCGAACAATGCTTCGAAGATACTTATGACTAAATAATAGTAATCGACGGACGACATTTCACACCAATATAATATTACAGAGAGAAATGTTGAACAATAAACTCATAGACTGGCTAGTAAGTAGATATATCCCCTAGGCCACAAGAGATGCAATTTAGCGAAAGCTGAGTAGCCTTCGAATGTATCGAGATTTTATCAGACACTAACCTAATAGGAGTGCTGAGACTTTCTCAATAAAGCAAAGTGATCTATGATCTCGAGGACTCCGACTGGGCAGTTTGTACCTACCAGTACAGGTCAGTCCAGTAGTCATGGGCTGATGCCATATGTTGTATTTGGAGCCCCTAACCAAAACATGGCACAAATTCATGCAGCCACCGACAACTAGACTGAACCATGTTAGTACATGTAGACTACCAGATTGGAGTCCGCAAGATAATAGTAACCGATGGTTAGAGACTTGGAGTGACATGGCTCAAAATCGTTTGCGATGGCTCAGATGCATCCATTCTTTGTCTACGCTAAAATTTTAATCTTCCGAATTCCTCACCATCTTTTCTTCTCTTTAAATTTATTTCACCATACTGTACTTCTCGAATGATTTCTTCGAACGCTAATGTTCTCCATTACAGCCAATAATTCTATGACCTCTGCTACTATAGGATTTGAATTGACAATTCGATCTCTATGTGCTAAGGTGGTATAGCAACTTGAACTGATGTACGTACGTTGTAGCTGACTCATTTACTGCCCTCAGGCTTCCATCTTACTAACTTCTACACCAGCAAATATTATACAATGAGGTGAAGGTTCGTTGGACAAACATACAAATATATATCGACATGCCGAAGCTTCAAATTAGTCAGTCAGTCATTCATACCTAACATATGAACTGGAACTGAGCTTAATTTAGAGTACATCACACATCAGTTTAGTGGGATAAATACCACAGCAGTAGTAGTGTGGTGCGCGTTACTTATAAGTAGTATATGCAGTGAGTGTAAACGTAATGTCTGGCAGCAGAATATGGGGGAAGATCAAGAAAGGAGGAAGAGTGGGAACACAATGGAATTTGTATGAAACGCATGAATAGTGAAATAAATGTCAGACAATGGATTGATGATGGATTGAAGATTTGCAAATTATCCCTTTACGAAATGGTTTCCCTATTTTACTGAGTAACTCTGTAATTTTCGTTAAATACAATTCGATTGCCCTCACCTGTGTTCTCCTTCATTACAGTATGAATAATAATGAAAACGATCATATATAGATGACAGAATATTTCATTAGTAAAAATTACACTTCTTATTCGTATTATTTATACCACCACTTACCCACATATTTAAAACTCATAAACACTTAATAATGTACTTTATTATTACTATTATTATTATTATTACTACTGAACTTGATTTTGTACTGATCTCTTATCATGTCATTAGAAAATTCGTCAAACACATGTTTGAACACGTAATTATGTAGGCAAGTAAATATTTTATTTATTTTTTTAAGAAAAAAAATTTTCTAATCTATCAAACAATGAAAAATATATATATCATTTAGCTTAGCTTATAATACTTTTTATCATCACAGCTAATATTTCAATAACCTTGCACTACTACTACTACTACTACTACTACTATGGGATTTAGCTGGATAATTTTATCTTTCACTCTCTATGTTAATAATGGTATGTTAACTTGAACTTATGTACATACGTCATAGGGTTTTATGCTGCAGCTGACTGACTGAAATCTAAGGTAATGAGCGACGGATAGCCATTTCGTCCTAGAATGGGACTCGTCAGCAGTGCGGATCCATGACCCCAGCTCTCGAGAAGTGAAACACTAACAACTTTGAATACCGGTTGAGTGATCTAGAGGTGAAGCATTTGCGCATAAGATCGAATATCCTGTATTTGAGAAGACCGATTTGCAGATGCGCATTGCTGATAAGTTCCATACTAGGACAAAACGGCCTTTTAGTGCTTTCAGGTTTCTAATGGTGGTCTAACAATGATTGATTCATTATTTCAATCAAACTTAACAATCTCTATAACTCTATAATGTAAATAAATCTTCACTGACTAAACGGTGTTGACACAGTTTGATTCGACTAGATGATCAAATAAAGCTCACCAACATATTCCATAAAACCAGTGAGATTAGAAACGTGAAACCGAAAATACATTATGACCTCAACATCAAGATATAGATCCTAATTCACTTCGTATTTATTCATTAATCTAGCATACTTGATAGCGACATGATATTCAATGTCGAACAGCTACGAAAGTGTTTAAGATACATGTGTTTCATATGCTTATATAAGCAGTCACACAGTACGAGTACAAAATGTATATGACTTACAGATTAGTATACTAGCCAGCTGTATAAGTTAAGTATAAATGTATACAATCTAATAAGATTACAAGTGGTAAAATGACTTGCCATGCTTCTACAGATAAAATACTTTGTGTAGAATAAAGTCCATTCAACACTGCATAATTAGATTTTCTAGACATTTTCGAAGATTTTAAAGTGTTTACGCTACTGCTCAACTTTCGGAGTGGTTTATTTGATATTGAGGTAGTTAATGATAACCTACAGATAGATAGACGCTGACAAAATGCAGAGTCTTATAACTACCCTAAGCAACAATGCAAGCATGTTCGGCACGTGATTCTCACGCTCGAAATGCAAAATGTTGCTCCAAGATTGGCTTGCGTCGGCACCTGAACTAATGATAGGGGGTGAAGTAGTGGAACGTTTAGACCAGTTCACTTATCTCGGGAGTTCCATCAGTGCTAATGGCCTGGTGACTGACGAAATCTCAGCACGGATACAGAAAGTTCGATTGGCTTTTGCCAACTTGCGTCATTTACGACGTAGGCGAGATATCCGCTTGTTAACCAAAGGTCAAGTGTACTGTGCAGTAGTTCGCTCCGTTCTCCTATATGGAAGCGAAACACGGCCGGTAAGATTAGAAGATATTCGTAGGTTACTAGTATTCGGTCACAGATGTCTTAGAAGCTTTGCTTGCGTATCATGGGACGATCGAGTAAGAAATCCTGCCATTAGGGGACGAGTACAAGGTAAAGATGACAGATCAATAGATGAAGTATTGAAACTTCATCAGTTAAGGGGATTGGGACATGTGTTACGAATGCCCAACCACCGACTGCCTCTACGAGCTATGTTTTGTAGTGTAGGAGTAGGTTGGAAGAAAGCTAGGGGCGGCTAGACCAAAACATGGCAGAAATCCATGAAACCACTGACAAGTAGACCGAGTTATGTTGGCAGATGTAGGCTACTTGGTGGGGATCCGTGAGACGGAAGTCACCGATGGTTAGAGACCTTGAATGATATGGCTCAAAATCGTTTGCGATGGCACAGGTGCATCCATTCTTACGCTTCTCTTAAATTCTAAGCTTCTCAATTCCTCATAACCTTTATCTTTCTCTTTTAAAATTTATTTCACTGGATTATACTTCTTGAATAATATCATCGAACACTAATCTTCTCAAATACCGCTAACACTCTTACTATCTCTATTACTATAGGATTTTAATTGACAATCGCATCTTTGTGTGCTAATGGTATATGGCAACATGAACTTACGTATTTACGTACAAAGTTCTACGTTGTAACTGACTGACTGACTGACTGACTGACTAGATAGAAAGAATAGACTTATAAGCTGACAAGAGCTTGAATGATTATTATTATTATTATTTAAACACATAAACACTAGTCCAAAGGGGACATCGAAATATTTATGCACCACATAAAATTATTGAATTTGTATATGGGCTGTGATAGTGCCTGAATACTCAAACCGAATCATGTGATTTTTTTGAGGGACCACTCACCGAGTTCCACAATGCAGTGGAACAAAGTTAGGAGATCCAGTAACATGGTATTGGTTTTTAGTCAGGGTTTTTCAGCTCCCCTAAGTAGATCATCCACACACATCAACCCAGTTTAAACCCGTGCGA